TAGTTGATTAAATCTCTGAATCTAGTTTGAAGTACCATATTACATGCATGAAATATTCTAAAATCCTAATACAGAAAGAAAAAAAAAACTAAATGAAGTTTTGAGTAGTTTTTGAGGGCTAAAAGGTTCATAGTTCTATGATGCCGGTCTAATAGTTTCTCGATATTTTCCTATAAAACCAACATGATTGTTGACAACCAGGGTCATAAGAATTTGTCCTCCTTAACTTATTTGTAGGTCAAGAGAAGAGTTGAAAATAGTATTACAATTATGTAGGCTTAACCATACAGCTTTTTTCATGAATCCTCCAGTCTCATATCTAGTTGGTAATTCCTAATATCATCAAGTCTCCTATCTAGCTATGAATTTCGTAATGACAGTATGCCCATTTTTATTAGTTATTGTACGTTAACTTACTTATTCTTTTAGGTGATGGTTATAAGTCCTAGATCACAAATGATTTCAACGTTCTCTCAAGTTAGATAAGAAGTAAATTAAGAGTAGAAAGATACACATCAACGTATGAAATCCAAGCACAACAACTTATACTATAGGAGTATGAAAAATGAGATTAACTACTTTGCATGAGAAAATAAATAAAAAAATTGTTAGTGTAATCATAAAAAAGAAAAATAATGTGCAAGGTATAGAAAACTCAAATGAAAGCCAATCAAAATTATGTAAATTTACATTGTATCGCCACTCACTTTGATGGATCCTAAAAAAGTAGGATGAGTCCTTACAAATCCATTGATTTGTGATGAATTGCTCTGCAAACACTTTGTTGAGCTCATTAAGAATATAAATGCCCACCTGAAAGTGAATAAAATTAAGTATCTACTTGCCCTTTAAGAGTTGTAGAAAAAAACTTGACAAATGAGCACATCTGAAGCTCTCTTTATATGATAGTTGTGAAGTAATCAATGTGCTCATATGGGTAAGATGTCTCATAATAAGTATCAACACTTGGAAGCTCAGGCCCTTCTAGAGTGGGGGTTGAAGGATAGTCTAGCTAATCAGAAGACATTTGAGAACCATGCTGAGTTGACTATGCCTCATAGAAACTCTTCTCTTACTAGATGTTATAACTCATCATAGATTGTGTGAGGTCGAGCTAAGTTTTCTACATGTGGTGGAGGTTTGCAGTTAGGCTTGATGATGGGAGGTCGATGCGTAGGTTTAACAATATTCATCAGTTCAGCTTTTGGAGGAGGAACTTCAGTGCATGGAGGGGAAACCAACGGTGTGCCTCTAATTAATGAATTTTGAAATAACTGTGCCCCTTTAGTATGCATCTCCGTCACTTCTCATGCCTTCTATAGAAATTAGAGAATATCGTTTAGAGACTTATCCATTCCTTGTTTATAATTATCAAGAGGTGCAAAGGTGGTTCCTTTTTTAGTAGGATGATAAGTATCAGTGAGAAACATAACATGGGCTTAATGTTTCAGACTTTGAGAGTGCACCTTATAATGATGGGAGCTAAAGAAAGAAACTCATGTATTGCATTTGTTAGCGATTGATGAAGTGTAGTCTTTATCAACGCGACTTCATTTTTTTTAGATAGCGCCAAACTATTGAGTAGCATAAATTTACGGTGATATAGTGATTATTTATTGTCTTAGAGTTGTACTAAAATCTAACACACATACATATGCCAAAAAGGTAACAGGATGAGAGACCGAGATTTTTTGTGGAAAAACCCTAAAATAGAGAAAATTACGTAGTCTTGCCCAGTCACAATAATCCACTTTAAGTGACTAAGTACAAAGACTTATCCTTTTCTCACAACTGAGAGAATGTGATTATTATTTTAAACCAATTAAAATACTTGCTAGTATACAATATACAAAAAATATATGTGTTAAAAATAATTATTGTATTCTGACAATGAAGCTCGCAAGCAACGGTCGTCGATGGTCGGGGGTCTGCGACGATAGGTGGTGATGGTGATCGTAAGTTACGAAGGCCATGTATTTGATACAGGCGTTATACATTACAATCATATTTAGGATACAATATTTGTAAGCAATGACCGCCAACAACGACAAGCAAGGATGACAAATAGTGGTCGATAGTAGTCGATGGTTGTCGAAGGCTATAAAGTCCGAAAGTTTTCACCGAGTCTTCTCTATAGAACAAGCTCTGAAATTCCTCCTCTCTCTCCCCCTTAAGTGAAAAGAACAGTTTATTTATGACTATTGGAGTATGATATTATTGTTATTTCAGGAATAAATTCCACAACTATCTGATCAGACGACACATATTGATTCGTCGAAGTTATTTTTTTATATGATTTGAGAGTCTTAATGACCTAAGAATTAAGAGTGCTTGGGCTCGTTGGATTTCTCTCGTCTAAAAGCTCGATTTGAATATAGTTATGTCAAATTTGTAGTTAATTTGACGATCAAATTGATGATCTAAAGTCTTCAAAAGTATTTTAATATCTTGATATGGGTTTGATTGGACTCTGATTAAACCAAATTTGATATCATTGGCTTCGTCTTCTTAAGATGACTAGTTTGACTATAAACTTGTTGAAATTAAGGCTCTAGATGATATTGAATTTTATTATGGAGTGTTTATTACTCAAAAAATGCCTCAAGATTTATTCTTGTCAGATGATAAAAATTTCTTGACCTTGCACCAATGCCAAAGGCTATAAAATTTGAATTTAATTGAGTACAACGAAATATATGTTATGTTTATATTTTAAACCTAATAACTTCTTTATCCAAGATTATTCTTTATTAGTTATAACATTAGACATAATTCACTCAGAAAATTAAAATATAATATCTATTGATTGGATTAGTATGATTCTCTATTACATTGACTATTTGATATTCCTACTTACGATGTGTATGATATGATCTTATGATAAGAAAAGGAGCTGCAAAATTTAAAAACTTATAAAAAAAAAATTCAGAAGACAACAAATTAAAGTAAAAGAACACACAATCCATTGGTCAAGAAGATTGTTATATCTCCAAGCTAGTGAGTTTGAGCAACATATTTTGCAATTTGCTACTCATCATTTCCACAAAAAAGTAATTAATTAAATAAAAAAACAAACCAAAACAAAATAACAAATTCATCAATATATATAAGTAAGATAATATTTAATTCAATTTCAACTTTAGAGTCTAAAGCCTTTTGGTTTTGTAAATCTAAAACTAATACATGGATGTATAGTAGATTTAGTGAAGCGGTTGTAACAAGAGGCGATCAAATCATTAAATGAGAGAACATTTTAGATATCTTGGGTCCATTGTTCGAAGTGATGGTGATATTATTAGTAGAATTCAAGTTGGATAGTTAAAGTGGAGGAATGTATCGATCGGTGGGTCTATTATGTGATAAAAATGTACTGCTTAGACTTCAAGGAAGATTTTATAAGATTGTGGTGATACTCTGCAATGCTTGATGGTGCAGAATATTGACCAATAAAAGTGATGCATTAAAACCAAGTAAAGTGTTCATGAGATGAGAATGCTTACGCGGATAAGTGGCTTTACAGTTGGAGACAAAATGTGAAGCGAATATATCCATGAGAGGGTTAGTGTAGTTCCAGCGACAGACAGGATTAGAGAGAGTCATCTTAGATGATTTGGTCATATTATACGTCAACTATTCGATGATCTTATTAGGAGAGTAGATGTTTTAGATTTGACTTTTGGTAAGAAAGTTAAAAGTAGACCTAAAAGGTGATCTTAATGTATTAGAACTAAAAGAAAGTAGAACGCTCAATCGAGCACTATGGAGAATAAGGATTCGTGTACCCAATCCCACTTACTGGGATAAAGACTTTGTTGTTGTTGTTACCCATAAATTGCCGAGTTCTTCAAATATTACTCAGCTATATTCATCAGCTAAATAAACAAATAGAAATGAGCTTAAATAGAATAAGTATTCATTGAGCATATTATATCAACCAGCTCTTTATTCATCCGAGGTAATTACATTTTTAGCACAATCAAGATCGAAAGTGCTAAAACGCCAAGCCAGACTCTTTCATTTCGTCTATTCCAACTTTCAAACCTTTTCGTAGTGGAGAAAATATCTCTTCCAACAGTTAGTGCTTCTTGCTGAAGCTGCACAAAGAAGCAATCATGTTTCTTTTTTCATTGACAAGAGGGCTCATCTGAATCATGGGCCCAAAGTACTTTAAGAGAAAGTTCCAAATTCTCCAAAAATAAAGATTTTAGGATGAATGAATTAATGGACCGCCTAAAATGCTCTGAAACCCAAATAATTGATGAGCCTCAGGAACTACACCTGCACTTGGACGCTTGGAGTTACAGTGTACTCGCATCGTTAATGTTAGGTTTCATAACTGTTCTTCCGACAAATACATACTCATTCTGCATGATTTTGTCTTATGCTTATAGCTTTTGTAGTGTTTTAAATGAATAATAATGTCTTACCTGCTACATTACCATCACCATCGTCATCATCATTAATATCATTCACCATGGGGTACAATATTCATAATTATAATGTACTTAGTTTGTACTATGTGATCAACCGCTGCAGTTTTAATGAACTTCTGATAGCTTGAAATGTTCTGTCTTCAATGAATTTCTGGTTTTAATTATTAACCATTGAACTTCTTATAATTTACTTATCCTCAGTCAACCTTAGATAATGTATCACAATTTCAGAATGAAAAAAAAAATGAGTCGCATGCTTAGATAAAAAATTATTGTATCAGGAGACCTGATACAAATTTGTATCAGGTGTCCAATAACAAGGTTACATATGGCAACCCGAGCCCGAACCGTGTATGTCAATAGACCCAAATCGCCAGGTGGCCCCAGTTATTGGACAAATGATGCAAATTTGCATCAGGTATCCTGATCCATAATTTCTGAACATTATTATTGGCTTTATCCCCAAATATTTTAGCTTTGCTAACTCAAATCGTTGGTAAGCCATTGTTTAAGACAGAAAGATCGCACATGCAGTAACAGGCAATGCATGGCAATAGTACTTAGACCAAGTGATTAAATAATATTTAATACTCACATACGTTCTCTCTCAACGGCAAACTGAAATAGGGTGGAAAAGAGTAACCTTTCCACCAACATCTATAAAACTTAGAGAAAAAAAATTACAACTTGAAGCAATGTTTGGATGTAGTGAAGAACAAAAGTTGCGATTAGTATTGCTTCTTTAACCATTTTACATAGAACTAATTACAAATGCTTAGCTCCATGTGGGCGGGCAAGGAAACAAGCTTGCGATGCTTGATTTTAAGCCCAAGAAGGCCACAATAAGAGGCCAAAGTGGCGAAGCAAAGAAAAGTACAGAATACTCTTTATATCTTCTGATAGTCGGAAATACAAACTAATGGCCTCCAAATCCACACCCTTAGCTTTCAAGAGGTGGTGGTGGTGGGGGCACATATCTATCCAATTTACACATTCGGACAAGACTTGAGGGAAAATCTCTTCCACTCCACTAGCCGTTGTAAGAAATCCATAACCTATAGAACAAAAATTCAAAAACCAACAATTAGCTGCTTGCTTTTCTCCAATGGAAAAATGCATAGGAAGAAGCCGAGAGATTTGAGATATTATTAAATGGGCATAATTCGTTACACTTTTGTCTTTTAGTCCTGAGTTTCTTGTTTGTTTTTCTTTATATAAAAATCCATAACCTATAGAACAAAAATTCAAAAACCAACAATTAGCTGCTTGCTTTTCTCCAATGGACACATGCATAGGAAGAAGCCGAGAGATTTGAGATATTATTAGGCGGGCATAATTCGTTACCCTTTTGTCTTTTAGTCCTGAGTTTCTTCTTTGTTTTTCTTTATATATATTATAGCTGTATCGAAGCAAAATATTAGAGATTGAAAAAAACAACTATGCAAAACTAGGCCAGAAACTAATTATACGAATTTTGACCTTTGAAAAGTAAAATTCCCTATCGGAGAGAAAAATGGACGAAAAGTAAATAGCAGAGGATCTGGCTTTTAGTTGGTACTTGCCTCAGAAGGCTCTTGGAGAGAGTAAGAGGCGTTTGTCTCCTTTGGGATCTTAGAAACAAGTATGCCAGAGCCCTGTCCCTTGTCTCTCAGAACCTAATAACAAAAAAATAAGAAGCATTTCTGATTAATGGTCATTTTACTCAACAGCTATCGATAGAATCTATTAACAATACATAATAAGAAGAAGAAGAAGAAACGAAAGCATCGATTAAATGATTTGTTGTCATGGAATCATTCTATTTAGCTAATCGGAATTATGTCATAAGATTACAAAAATATAATATTGTAAGCATGGAGTTAAAGTTGATATGATACGAAATATATAATTTAAAACATAAATCATTTTGCTTAATGGTTTGCTCTATTCATTGTCACAACATAAAAAATAAATTCAAACCTTGAAAGCATCTTCATCTGTTCGATCATCGCCGATATAAACAGGAAACACGTCTTTGCAGTTAGCAAATCCTGCATAAAAAAAAATATTAAATTCTTTGCCACTAACAATCAAAACACCTAGAAAAATACTGCTCAACTCAAACGAAGATTTAAATAATAATAATAATAATAAAAGGACTAGAATATTTTGTCGTCAAGGCAAATCCACAGCATACCAAGAGACTTCAACAGGAACTCCAAGGCCTTTCCTTTATCCCATTTGATAGTGGGACGAATCTCAAGTACCTGAAAGCAAAGTAGCACAGATTCAATCAATCTGTCGTATAAAACAATAAACACTAAGGAAATTTTAGTAAAACAAAAGTGGCCTATGACTTCATTTGTAAAAATCAGACCTTTCTTCCTAGAGTAAGCTTAAGCTTTGGGTACTCCTCCAGCACTGACTTAACTTGTTCAGCTAAGGCACTCCATCTCTGAGTACAGAAAATAAACTCATATATAAGTAGCTAGAAAGCTAAGAAAATCAAAGATAAATTAATTTTGATTTTTGTTTTTCGGTTTTTTGAGACTCAATAAAACATGATTTCATACCTTCTCATTCACACATCTGAAGTGTACTGACAAACAGAACTTATTGTTCTCCACCTTTGCTCCAGGAGTTGATTTGGTTGTCTCAAGCAAAATTTTATACACCTTTACATTTAGCAAAACAAAAGTTATTAAGCTCTCAATACATAGCTCAATAATAGTTGCATTGCATTTAAAGGGGAAAACTGAAAGAGAAAAAACCTACCTTATCAATCATGGGAAGGTACTTGCTTGCTGGCTGACATAGAACTGCCTTGGCCTGAACCACAGAATCAAAGGAAAAAAACTCATGAATAGAAAATACTTATTGAAAATAACAAAAGAAATTTTCTTGATACTACAAGCTTTCCAAATTTAAAAAACAGAGAGAGAGAGAGAGAGAGAGAGAGAGATTTTCCAAATTTAAAAAACAGAGAGAGAGAGAAAGAGAGAGAGAGAGAGAGAGAGAGAGAGAGAGAGCACACATTAGCTTTCATGAAGCTGGGCCCATTTGCTGGGACCTTTATGTCCATGCCATGGCTACCAGCGTAGCAGAGCTCTGCCAATCTTACAAAGTTGTACACCTGCCCACACCAAAGCAGGGTCGTTCAGCATTGGAAGAAGCAAAACAAGCTCTTTTATTGGCGAAAACAGAATACAATTTACCTTGTCACGGCAACGCCCACTCACAATCGCCGTAGGGAAATACCTCGCCACATTCCTCACTGCATCTCTCATCTAAAGAAACACAGCAACCAATCATCAAAAACCCACATTAACAGCCACAAGAAAATCAATTTGGAGTCAAAATCTAAAATTGGCACCGAGGTTACAAGAAACAAACCGCGTCGGACATGAAGGCGCGATCAGGGTCGTCGACAATGGGGGAGAGAGTTCCATCGTAGTCTAAAAACATCACAATCTGCTTCCCCTTAGACGCCCTCGTGATCTCCCCAAACATGCTTAAAGCCGAGGGGAGCCTCATCTAAGAAACCAATTTTTCATCAGAGTCAAAAACAAAGCATAAATAAATAGCAGAGCAAGAATTGAGATTCCATTGGCTCACCATCCAAGTTGGGCCTGCATCCGAGTGGCAAGCAGCGAGCCCTGCAGCCTTCTTCGCGCGCGTCGGCGAGGAGGCTTTCAGGGACTCAACCCACACATTAGGCCTACTCGCGTTGCTGCTGCCCAGTTCCAGCTGCGGGACGAGAAACATTCGTGGAATAGAGAAGCCACCACCTGCGGACTTCGGGAAAGGAAACAGAGGAGTTGAATTTGCAACCGCCGGTATTGCTATGCCTGTAGTATCCGGTACCACGACATTCTGGCTCGTCATGCCTAATTCTTATTCGTGATTATAAAGGATTCAATGGAGGCGAAGAGGAGAGAGAGAGAGAGAGACAGAGACAGAGCTCGTTGGATCTTTTATCAATGGAGGGAGGAAATGGTGAAGCCCGAGGGGTTACTCTTATAGTTTGGAGATGAACCGACGTTGTCGGGGGCCACACGAAGCCCGAAATCGGTTATCGCCGTCTTCCCCGTATCAGCTCGCTCGCGGGTTACTCGGCACATGCGCAGATGTAAAGTACGCGACCGACTCGCACGTGATGTGATGGGCGGGGCAGCCGACACGCTCGCGACGAGTAATTTTCTTTTGGGTTTTTGTGGTTGGGTTTAGACTTTAGATTAAAGATTTTGATTAATTTAATTTTTTTCGAGTGTATTCGGGTTCAGATTAAATAACAAATGAAAAATGACTCGTCTACGCATAAAGTGGCTTGAAATAGACCCTTCATACTAGAGTTTATCTAGAATTGACTCGAAATAGGTATGAAATTGATTCAATTTTAACCCCAAATAGTGGTTATTCCTTATGTTAAATGGATTATATAAGTCGGGTCTGGGTTGGCGGCTGAAGGCGGGTTTGGTTCAAGTTGGGATTTTTGACACGTATAATGTTTGGGTCAGTTTGGGTCAAATCTGTTTGTTGAATCTAAATCTGTCCTTTGGACCGTGCCCAACGAATATAGTCGGATTCCAGGGGAAAAAAAAGAGAGGAAGAAAAGGACAGGAGGTTACCCCATTGGAGGGCAAAGATGGATGGTCCATTAGTTTGATGACCCCTTTTATTCCACATAAGAGAGGTTATTATGAAGAGAGAAGGGGAGCAGTCTGACGACTAAGACATGTATATTGTTTATTCAAGTTTCTCATTAAGAAATGTAATTGACATATCAAGTTTTTTTATGGTCAACATGTATGCCATTGCAATGGATAGGAGCATGTGAATGGTGGTAACTTTGCCATTGGATTGAAATTTTCGTTGTAGTCCTCCCCTTTTTATTGTGAGACTTATTGTGTTGTCAATCATGCTTTGTATCCAATGTTGGCTCCATCTAAATGATGTTCTGTCTTAAAGGTTTATTTGCTGCCTAATATATTTTGATTCATGGGAGATGTTATTAGTTTCCATGTGCTTTGATATTAAATAGCCATGAATTCAATCGACACTGCTTCTCTCTAGTGAGGGAGCATTGTGGCTTGATTGCATGTGGTAGGGTAGGATGTGGTTGTGTTGTGCTGAAAGCTGTGCATGTTTTTCTGGTTTTAGGGATCCAATTTATTATCTTGTTATCAAGGGGTGTTATTTTTGGTGGTGTGTGTGAGGTGGGAATTGAATGATTATGATGAGAGGTGTTAGTGTTGTTGTTGATAGAGAAGCAAGGGAGTTGTGTTCATTTGTTTCGTTTTGTATGGGGGTTGTGTGAGTATTGAAGCTAGCTAGGGAGGTTGTGTTATGGTGGAAGTGAAAATCAGTAGATTAGTTGATTTGAATTGTTGGTGGTGATTGGTTTATGATCGATTTGATATAGAGTAAGTTTGTTTTTATGAATGTAACAAGTCTGAATATGATGATTTTGTTGGTTTATTTGTCGAAGAATTTATATCATTTGTATTTTTTCTTATGTTCAAGGAATAGACACAGTGGTGCTTTGGTTGTGAATTTGAGTGATGTGGTAGGTTGTTGTCGTGGGAAGCATGCACATCCAAAAATTTTAAGCTAGTTATATTTTTGGTTTTTGTTGTTTAAAAGTTGGTATGGGGAATGTGCTTGTGTGATGTTAGAGAGAAGTTTGTTTATGAGATATGTTGCAATTAGTATGGCTTTTACTCAAAATTGAGGTGGTAATCATACTTAGTTGAGTAGTGTTCTTGTTGTTTCTACCAAGTGTTTGTGTTTTTTCTAGCAACTCAGTTGATGTTGTATGAAGTTCATTTGAAGATTGTGTTGCATTTGCTGTGAGGTGTATTTTTTTTTGCTCTATCTATTTCAACATATTTTATTGGTTTGTTGTTTTAGTTTAACAATATCATGTTTAGGCACATAGAGTGTGTGCAACTTCGGATTTATCACGCATGGGAAATATCGATCAGTAGTGAGAACAAGCATATATGAATGATATGTAATATCTATATTTATTAATAGAGGGAAGAGACAAAGGTCCCCATACATGAGAATGGAAAAGCTCTAATGTGAGATAAGTACTAGTACTACATGAGATTGGTAGCTCAAAGCTCTGTTTTGGTGACATGTTTGACTTTGGTGTGATGTTATCGACATCCATAATAGCTATTTGTCTTTAGAGATGCCAAAACTCTTGTATGTGAGTGTCTGAGGCATTGAAGCCAACTACTTGAATTACTGGTAGAGTGGAAGGCTATGATGAGATGCAATCCTTGTTCCCTAGTTTTGTAAGTAAGATTTTCTTTATTCTTAGATTTTGTATGTACGAGCCACAAGTCTCAAACGAGATGAGACAATTGTTATCCATTGTTAGTTGTAACCAAAATTAAATTATAGAAATAATATGTCCTTTGTAGATGGAGGAAAGAGCGAGCTTTTTGTTGGGGGTGGGCAACATTCCATTTGTTTTGTGAAAGATGTTTGTGGTATGACCCTTTCCTGATGTATTTTATTCATATACTTGATAAGGTGTTTAGTTATGTAGCTGCTTTAGATGTGATGTGCTGATACTTAAGTGTCTAGCACCAAGGTTTGAGTCGGTTGGGTAGTGTTTGTTGTGATTATTGTGTGTTAAGTGTTTGAGCTGGGAGTGTATTGTATTTTTGTATAATACCGATAATGTGCAATAGAGTGACCTATTTTGAGACATATGACAAGTGATGGGTAGTTTGGTTTTGGTATTAGGGTTTGTGTTTTCATGAGAGGTTGAGTAATTCTTATTGTTAGATTTATTGGTGTGTTGATAGTTTTTGGATTTATTTGTGAAGAGGGTTATTATTAGCTATTGTTTTGCATTTTTTTTTTGTGGCTATATTGCATTCTTCAATGTGTAGCAAAGAATAGAAGTCTTCAAGCCTGATGGGGTTCGGATGTGTATGGTTGTCTTGAATCCTTGAAAATTGGGTGGTATTCGATTGAGAGTGTAGAGAATGATATCTTTGGCCTCAATTGTTGATCTTGATGCAACAATGTTTTCTACTATGGTCTTTAAAATAGTTAGATACTGTGACTAATTTTGTTTATTCCCAATGTAATGTTGTGTAGCTCGTTCTTGAGAAATATGACTGGCCTTTTTAACGGATTAGAATTTTCACTCTAGGTTTGTTCAAATGGTACATGTGTTTTGTAGGTAAAGAATGTCTGACAATAGTGTTGTAGAGATAACAAAAATAACTGTGATAACTAAGATTTTGATCCACTAATTGACATAGAAGATAATATGAATTTTCTTGTTGCGTTTCAGATTCATCTACTTTGAATTGTGGTGGACTGATATTGTTTTCTTCTAAAAAATTTTAAAGCCATTTACTTCGAACAACTTGAGGATCTGGGCTTTTCATACATGATAATTATTGTAAGTGAGATATGAAGATGAGATAGTCTTAACCTGAGACATTAAGAACTCGTGAGAAGTCGATATGTTGATCTCTTTCGTTCTATTGAGAGATAGTGTAGATGTTAACCAAATAGAGATGGAGTTGAGGTAGAGGAATCCATAGATCCATGTTGCAGCTATTGAGATAAAACTTTGATACCATGGAGAGATGGAAAAGAAAAGGGAAAGCTAGAAGAAAGATATGTATTCAAAATTAATTTTATCTAACTAATGTTTTTATCATTACATCATCTCATCCACTGATCTTTTTCTATATGTATAGATGAATTTAGGGGTAGCCTAATCATTTCATAAATACCAGATGATAGTACATTTGCGCTTGCTGACTTGATACCATAATAGTTTCTATTTTTAGGAGATTCTTTCAGTTGCTATGGGATAAACACGGCAGAGGTGAGGGGAGCTCCATTATTTTCAAACACTATCTTCATCGGCCCCCACAGCTTCCCCCACAATGATCAAATTTATTTATTTTTAACTCTCAATTAAAGAGAATAGGAAATTGTACGAATATCAATCTTTATAGCTTATTATTGCCTCTGCTAAGCCCTGTAATTTTTTCTAGTTCTTGATTTTTCACATAAAAAAAATTATGATGTTATTATCTATGCACATTCATTTAAATGTTTATATGACATTTTCATACACAGCTAAGATTTTAAACTCTTATTCTATTGCTACAATTCTTTTAGCATGCAACAAGTGTGATTGTTAATGACGTAACTAAAGGCTTTAAATAACTTCATGAAGTACGACGACGACTATAATTTTTTTTAGTAATGGATTGTGTTAATCAAATCATTAGTAATCATAAATTTAATCAATAATTAAAAGAATTTATCTTTAAAAATCGTACTTTTTAGTCTTTTTTATTTAAAAGAGTTATAAATAACTTATTTGAATCAAATTATTTAAAATTATAGGACATTATTTAACTCAAATTTATTGTAAATACTAACAAATCTACCTGGAAAAAAAAAAAAAACCTAATAATAAAAGCCCTAAAAAATCAATATAGATCCTATTTGTTCGAAAACCACTCCCCGATCTTGTTAATTGAGGGCTCGTTTGGGGCAGCTTATAAGTGCGGCGGCATTTTTTTAAACGCTGTCTGCCGCATTTGAGTTTTTTACACTAAATGCAGGCGGCGGGTCGACCCGCAAGTCAGCAAGCCACGTTTCTGGATAAGTTGCTTATCATGAAACACACATAATGCCCCAAATAGACTCTAAATCTAATCGTAAGGAAAAAAAGAAAAAATCCAACCTTAAGGTGATCTCATGAATCAATCTAATCTATTGTTATTGGAATAAATCAAGTGCTAGCACGTAGTGTATGATAGACACGTACTTACGTATGATTACTTTTGTGTAATGCTTTTGCTTCTCCAATTAAAACTTCCTCAAGTTACAACAATATTCTTAATTAACCTATACTTAATACTTTCTTTTTTTGAAGTAATGGAACTAAGGTTTACATTATTACTCAAATTTTCCAAAATTTATTAAATTTTATTTATATTATTGAGACAACATATTTTTTTTCTGAAATGATGAGGAGCATGTATCTGTTGAATAAATTTAGTAGCTGTTAGTGGGTATGAGCTTGAGATTGAGC